CTTGCCGCGAATCAAACGTATATTATATACTATATAGATCTAGATGTAGGTCAGGCTCTATCAAATAAGGGGGGTGGGAACTACCGAAAAAGCGCCGAAAAGTGGCCGTACTTATATAACACAGGTGGCTGTCTTGGGCAGGACTAATCAAAATGAAGAAAGCAAATCATTCTCTTCCAACATCAAAACGGGGGCTGATCTCAGTTTTAGGACTGCCGTAAGGAAAATTCTAAAGGGTTTTTGTTTTCTTTGGAAAAAGGGGGTGGGTGTTGCAAGAAGGTTTTTTTTGTTGTTGTTTTGTTCGTTTGTTGAACTTTGTGTTAGCTTTCTTTTTTTCTGATTTTATGCAAGGGTAATATTAACTAAATGTAAGTAAGACGATGAAGACCGAATGCCATGGTAAAATAAACAAACGGGTCGCCACGATTCAGAGAACGAGTGAAGCGTCTGTCGCAAGTTCACGTCAACTTCCACTGTAACTTTGCTACAGATTAGGTAAACGAAACAGTGACCAGGATCACATCACGCACAATTTGTGCATGAGTTGTAGGCAGGGCTTATAGGTTATGATGGATCACGCTTCCCTCACCAGCAGTTGAAAATTTATTGTTAGGCCTACTCATTGGTCAACTTGGGTAAAAATTCATTGGAGGCATTAACAATAACGAGAGGTGAATGAATTACGATGGCCCATCCACAGCGTGGGGGGCCGATTCAAAGTTTATGACAAAGCATTGGGCAATGTATGACCACGCCTGGCTGCCTGAGGCAGGTAAATTTGACTGTGGGTTGATTAAATAAGGTGGCCGTGGCCGTGTTGGACAGGTGACCGTTTCACACAATTAAATTATATAGAAAAAACACAAAGGAGGAAATGGAAAGTGGGCGTTTGTGTAGGAGGCCATATTATACAGGTGGCCGTTATGGCAGGTTCGACTGTATTGGCAGTGACAGTAGTTTAGTAGTAAATTGATATTGTTCAGAGTGAGTGTTCGACTTGGGTAGGGTAAGGCTCGTTTAGTAAGATTTACAGTGAGCAAGGCTAAACATTAACAGAATGATAACCCCCTCTACTCCCTGTATCAGTTAGCCTCTATCTCATCTGTATTTACTTGTCCCTATTCTGTTTGGTTTTATGTTCAGGTCTTGGGCTGATGTTGTGACAGGCACAAAGACATACAGTATAGGATATAACAATAGAACTGTCACGATTGGCTTAATGCTTGAGCAGACACCCATTGATGACTAAGATTTTTCTTTAGTTTTCAGTACTGACAGGGATGGGTAGTCGAGTTTGTGCTACATGATGTGTTGGTACAGTAATCGAATATATGTGTATATTATAATAATGAATAATGTAATGTAATCAAAGTATAGTAAACATACCTTAGACTTTGGGTTGGCTCGTGGTGTCTGCGCTTTGCTTTTGCTTGATTTGCTCATGGTTTTTTGGATCTTATTTTGTTGTGTTCCATCAAGTTAGGTCAAGACAAGTTCCTGTTGTTTCTGTGTCACAGTCTTAAATACAAGTCCAGGTGTTAAGACAACATTTATTAGTAAAGAGGAGGATGAATTACCGTGGAGTCGGCTTAAACGGAAATCTGCTGGACTGCAGGATTTCCTTTTGTTTAGTCATGTTCATGGTTTAGAGAGGGTTACTCAGAATGCAATGATTCTTGACAGCTTGGGAATGCCATGCTTGCGCTAAATTACACTTTTTAGCAGGTTTTTTCTCTCTCATCTGAGCATTTGCCAAAAGGTGGGATACCTGGGTGTGACAAATGAGGTCCAAAATCAACTTTATGTAATAATTCTTTAATCACCCATATTATATCGCCTAATGATTGCTCTTTCAGGCTCAGTAACTGCCAAAGCTGTATATGCAATGGTTTTGGTGTAATTCTGACTTGAATGACGGAAATAGCAAAAAGTTCGTTCATAACAATGATGACACAAATTTATGAATACTCAAAGTTCCTTTCTTCAGCTAGGCTGATGTTATATTTTGAGACATAGCAAATAACTTCCAAAAATACATAGAATTGACAATTTATAAAAATCTTTATTAATTTTTGATAAAATTACTTTTTTGTGTCATAATAGTTATGAACGAACAATAAGTGACCAAAATACTATCAATTATATCAAGTTTCATCGACTAGAATTGTCTAAAATAACACTCTGGTCTAATTATAGTCAAGTGATAAATGAAAGACCATTGTACAGCTATTTCTAAACGCAAACTGGTCTTAGGGCATATTATGCATAAATTTAAAGTTCGTTCATAACCATTATGACACACTGTTTCGTTCATAACTATTATGACAAATTTTACTTTGGGCCCAAAAAATTAACTTATTGTTCTGTCATTCACATAAAATTGTTTTAATTTATGAGACTCTCCTCAAAATAAGGTTATATGTTGGAAGAAATCAAAGTTTAATCATTGAAAAACCCTTAGAATACCTTTAATTGTTCGTTCATAACTATTATGACAAACTTCAGTTTTGACCTAAAAATTAATATTTTGACCTGTCATTTACTTTAAAATTTTATATTTAATGAAAGTTTCCTCATAATATGTATCTGTATACATGTTTTTAATGTTTATCAACTCTGGAAAGCCCTCAGAGTACAATATGTAGTTCGTTCATAACCATTACTACAAAAGTAAAATACTAATTAAAATCCAGAACCATACACTTATGATAAAAATCAAAATATCAGAACGTAAGCAAGGTCTAATACATCCTCAAGTTGGGTTAAAATTAAAAATACATCCCAAAACAACTGTAAATTACATGGAATAAGGTTTCGTTCACAACCATTATGACACACTGTCACGTTCATAACATGATGACAATCCATTATGACAAGCATATTTTTGCCTCTTCTTCGCTTCTCCTTTGAGTCATCAGCACGATACTCTTCCATGTTCATTCCACCATGTAAAAGGATGTTGTGAAACAGTGGGAAGTCCCTCACATGATATTTTGCAGAAATATCATAAAGTGTTCGTTCATAACATCATTATGACAAACCTGGATTATCTCAATCAAAGTCATATTTAAGCAAAACCATGCAAGTGAGCGGAAAATTACCCTTCTGATAGATCAATGTCAAACCAATGTTTAATACCGGTCATTCCCAAGGATGATATGTTTAACGATTTGGGTTTTCTAGACCTTGGAAAGTCTGATGATGTAATTATGACACGAGTTATGAACGAACTTATAAATTTTACTCAGCAATAACATCATTAATATAAAAAAATAAAACCCTTTTAATGGACACACGCTGTTATGATGGTGTATACAAACTATTTTCAATGTTTGAATGCACTTCTGTTTGATAGTTTAAGATTAACAATATTCTGTATTTAACATACAATTACGTGTGCACTCAGGATGAGTAAAAAATGCCCTATTTTTAGTACTATTATCTTTCTATATAGAGATATAAGATGCACACATCAATCTACTTGCTCATGCAGCTTGACCAACTTATTTCCTTGCATAAAGCTTTCAGAAGAAAACTTATTTTACCATGAGTTGTGGTTGATTTAAAAAGTCCTTAAGCAAACACCCCCACCTTTTGGTAAAAGCTCATCTACCTCTTTTAGTGATTGCAGTTTCAGTTGTAGGCTGGAAATATTGTACTTTCTCTTCAGCATTGTTAGCTTGCTTTGCCAAATAGTTACACAGAACAGAAAAAAGAGTAGATCAGCACACTGTACTGTGCTAGTCTTGAAAATTGAGTACAAACCCAATGCCATTGACGTAATGAAACATACCAAAGGCATCCATGTGCTTATGTGTAAAGCCTGTGTGAACTAAGTTCACAGAGATGATAGGCCATGACCAACTGAAGGTTGTGCTACAGACCAGATATACGTTCACTACCCTTGATTCACAAGGCGTCTTCATAGTGTGTAAACCCAATGATGTATACTGGCGATGCTTCTCTCTAGCCCGCAATTGACACATGATGTGTATTCTCATCTCTCCTTCCCTTGTTTGCTGTCTTGAAGCACGTTATAAGACTTTATGATTTAATGTGTGGGTTGCTAGTAAACATTTAGTCGGCGTAACCTTCAAAATTTTTTTCAGTTAAAAAGTGGGAGCATTTTGCCGTATCGATGGTTTTTTTACAAAAACAAAGTGGAGAAAGATTGGGGGTTTATTTTCTATCGGTTAACAGCTGTTTTTGGATTAAACGTGTTTGGTTTAAGCAGACTCAATTCTTTATATGCAAGTGCAGCATCTGTAGGTGAGCTCTTTAGCCAAGAGGTGCTGTAATTGTTTGCCTCTGGTGACAAGTAGATACCCAACCTTTTGATTTTTTTGTTTCAGGCGTTGTCAGTAAATTATTTTGGGAATTTCCCTGATTGTTCACAATGAAGTAGTTAGAACTGAGCATCGAAATCTTGTGTCTTCTCAATATAATTATAACATAATATTATTAAAGACAAAGTGGCAATTGAAATTGGAAAAGTAAAGGCGAGTCGAGATACACTGCTGATCTGGGTTGAACTTCAAAGTCATCCTGACCTAAAAAAGAAAAAACTAGGCAATATATAAACCTTGTTGTATCCGAGTGGCTGGTGGCACTGACCAGTGTATGCTGATCCTGTTTTGCTGAGTGTCCGTGTCACCAGCTTCTGAGAATGCGATTGTTTACTTCCAAATAAACACAGAAAATTATTCAGTGCATTCATATACTTTAAGTAAGAGTTTTACAGCACTTGTAACACAAATAGGTCATGTAAGTACTGGAGATCAGAGGTTCACTAGAGGGTAACATACAAAGAAAAGAAAAAGAGAAATGAAGAGATGAATATGATAGATGTTTGATAGGAAAGACGGAGAAAATCACACTGGTCAGAGCACCCACTAACCACCCACTCTGTACCATACATGTATGACTAGTATTCTATAAATTATCAAATTTTGTTTGTTGATAGTCTGAGTGAGAAGATGAGTGTTTTCGATTATGCATTTTTCAGTTTGTGGGTTTGTGTTCACGATTTTGAAACTCAGCTGATTGCACAAAAATGGCTATAACTTTGTGAATAATAATTTACAATAAAGTGATATATATGCCCTTTTAAAATTGCATGTGGATTGAATAAATTACACTCACAATTTCTCAGTAATATATACTGTATCCGTGATTCTTAAATTTGACATATTTTTAAAAAATGGTGTTTGTTTTCCCTGAATTACAATTTTATTGAAATTTTGACCCAGCCATTTTCATAATCCGTTTTTACATTTATTATTTTCATTTCTAATGAGGTATAAAACACTAGTTGTAGGTTGTTTAGTTTTTTACGAGAATGCTCATTCAAATAGGTAAGTGACTCTCCACTCAATTCTGACAGACCAAAATTAAATTCTGTTGAAGCACTGAAAAAATTCTGGAGACAAAGGATCAAATATGAAAAGAACTTTAGAAATGGACTGCCTTCCTTTATCCTAAAATGAAAGTGGGTTTTGATGTAATATCTGTTGGCTCTGTGGGTTGGAATTTATCTAAGATGTGATGGGGGGATGGGTAGATGGGGTTGGAAGATGAAGCCGCAGCTTGCTTTCAGGGCTAAAGTAAAGTTGAAATTTAAGTGTACGACTTGAGATTTTGAAGTTGCAGTTAGATATTTTGAATTTAAGTTCATACGCACATTCTCCTTTGTTTCCACCTTTGGCCCCACCCATCGGTATAATGGGCACTATCAACCAAAGTCAATGTTGTTGTGCATGTAACAACAATACAAGGAACTTTTTTCTGGGCTAGTCATATGATAAGGGTGGCAGGCATTTCTCAAAATAATGTCATTCTTCTGGCTAATTAGGAAAGTTTCTGTGCTGGAGCACCATTCGAGCGTTTTTACAAGCCGCGGTGAGATTCCGCATCCACACCACCCTGATCATCTGCACCGCTCAGGGATCAAACTGATGGGGTAACTGTGTGCCATGAGGTACGATATGTACGCCTCAGGTAACAACTACCTCCAAGCTGCACAGCTTTTCCCCCTTCCTCACCTGGCTGTATGGTGTAAATGTTAGAGCAAATGGAACCAAAACTGGAAGTTTTGTTTTAAATCAGGGCTTAGTGGGCAACAGATTTTCTGTCTTGGACAGGTCAAAACCCTCCGTTTCCGGTTAGAGCAGGTTTCTGTTTTATAGAAGTAACTAAAGAGGAATTTTTCAAGTAGTGAACGGGGGAGATTCCGTTGTGACAGTTTTCGTCTGGGACAGGTTTCCATTAAGGCAGGTTCGACTGTATTTGAAGCTGTTTGTTCTGGGTACATATTCTGCACATTGCTTTTAATTTTGTTCCTTCTACCCAAACCCCTTGTGTCGACCTTTGATATCTATGAATCAGCTTACACCAGTGTTCACATAACATTTATAAACACATTATTAGTATTGTGAAAGTTTTAAATTGTACTTTTATGATAAACTTCTGTCATCCTCATCATGGATCAGTGGAGACACTGAATCTTTGTACTCATGTTGTGCAGAAATTGTATTTTATGACTTTCTGTGTGCTACTTATGTTGTTGGTATCATGTCCGTAGTTTCAAATTTCTTTACCCGTTTCACTCCCCTGATCCAGTGTCTGGCATGAGGCCAGAGTTTGCTGTATGAGTCAAGTGTCAAGTCCGCTTATGCCCCCTCTCACCTTATGCTACAGCAAATATGTTCATGACTCATTTGAGCTGCTAGAGGAGCTGCATGATTCAGGCAAGGTGAGCCACTGCTTCAGGGGTGATTTTTATACCTTTATTTTTTTGTGCCTTTCCTTTTTATTTCTTTCTGTGTGTTTTTCCGCAATATATTTTGTCATTTTCTTTCTGCTGTGTTGTTTTCTGTCTTTTGTTAAAATCTGCTAATTTCATTTATTTTTTTTCTTTTGTACAGTGTTCAGACGATTCTGGGTTTTTTTTTAGTCATTTCTCTCAGATTGACTTCGTTGCTTTGGTTTTGCATATTTGTCACATTATAAAAACCAACACTTTACTTCTGTTGTACAAGATTTTGAAGGCGAGCACCGCTTAACTTTGTGTTTTACTTGTGAGAAAAGAAAGGCAGTGACAATGCTAACTTTTTACACAGTGCAACTCAATAAAAGAGCAACAACTCCTCTATTGTTTTGTCCTCTCCCCGTCTCTTGGGTTTGTTGTATCTGCAAATTTCACTGTAACTCATAGATTTTTCTTTTACCTTTACAGTTATCTTCTCAAAAACTGAAGTGGGTGGTTGGCAGGTGCTCTGGTGTGGTTTGCTTCTTCCTTCCTATCAAACATCTATGGTCTTTATCACCCCTTTTTTCTTGTTTATGTTTGTTGTTCTCTTGTAACACCTCTAATCTTCTGGCGCTCATATGACCTTATGCAGTTTCGAGCACCGTAAAACTTCTACTTAAAAAAATTTTTAAAATAAAATTGAAATACATATATATAAGATAATTCAAACCTCTTGAAAATGAAAGTTCCTGTTTTTATTTCAGTTATTTTCAATTGCACCCCACAGCACCCCATAAGTTACCTTGTAGTTGGCAGGCACTCTTCTGTAGTGGTGTTTGTCATTGATGTTGTTATTATAGTTTTTCTGTAGTTGTTCTACTCCTCCTTCTCCTCCTTCATCTTTTTCTTCTTTTTCATGTCCACCTCCTTCTCGTTGCCCTCCCCACCTTTATGAAACTGCTTCTGAGCAAAAACAAGACCTGGTGATATTGAGAGTTCTGTGAAGCCCATGCTCAGACCTTGAGTCTAGTCATAAATGCTGCCAACCGATTGTTGCTCTAGTATTGTCTGATTCTTTTAATTCTTATTATGTTGTTCTGTTCCTGGCGAAATGTGAGTCCTTTTTAATTCCGACCTGTCAAAGTGCAGTGAACTCATGTGAAGATAATGTCAAAATACTCCTGTTTAATGTATACAGACAAGTTAATACCGTGCATTCACTATCGACTGTGTCAGCTTGCTTTCCCCTGTGTTGCTTTCGTGAGGGCAATTATTTTACATCATACACAGTATCAAGTTTGTGTCAGCTTTCCATTAGATGACGGTCGAACGTCTGTCTGTCCGCCTGTCCGTCCATTTGTCCGTCTGTTCGGCTGTCTATCTGTTTGTTTGTCTGTCTGTCTGAGTATACTGCCATTCCCCGAATCACCCTCACACTCGCTCACTGCTATCTTTATCTTTCTTAATCTTAGTTTTTCTCACGTTGGTCCTGCCCCCCCCCCCCCCCCCCAAAAAAAATCCTCTCTCTCTCTCTCTCTCTCTCTCTCTCTCTCTCTCTCTCTCTCTCTCTCTTTTTTTTTCTCTCTCTCTCTCTTTCTCTCTCTCTCTCTGTATCTCTCTCTCTCTCTCCGGAGTGAGGGAGGAGGGAAGGGGTTGTGTCCAAAAGAGGCTAAGATGAGTGGTGAGTGAAGAATAGGGGATAACATGTATAGACTGGGTGGGTTTTCTCTTCTGTTGGGGAGGGGGGATGCTACTTTTTAAAAAGATGTCTTAGCAGTAAACTTCATTATACCCGCATGGGTGGTTGACGGGTGCCCTGTTGTGGTTTGCTTCTTCTCTCCTATGAAACATCTATCGTCTTTATCTCCCTTTCTTCTTTTTTTATGTTAACTCTCTTGTAACACCTCTAATCTTCTGACGCTCATATGACCTTAGAGCTATGCAGTTACGAGCGCCGTAAAACCTCTAAAACAAACAAAAACTTCATTATACCCACACTTCCCCGGGCGTTATTGATTCTTCAACTATTGATTTGAGTCGAAAAGATTGTGTTGCGTGAGTGACAAATATTGCTAAGGACCGACATTTACAACTCTCTGTAATGCGTTAGAGTTGAATAATAATACCTTTATCCTTACGTGACTTCAGTGTCTGGGACGAGAAGAAAGAGGGTATAGGGGAGGGGGGTGGCTGGCAAAAACAGCTGTCATCTTTAAAGTTTGCTGCATGTTTAAAACAAGGAAAACTTAAGAAAGGAAGACCAAAGATGACATGGAGGCGAGCGGTACAAGCGGAAATGGAAAAGGCGGGGACATCATGGAAACAACTAGAAATGGATGCACAGGACAGGCTTCGCTGGAGAAATGTTGTTGATGGCCTGTGCTCCACTGGGAGTTAAAACGGGCAAGAGGGAGAGCATGTTTAAATGAGATTGGATTATGTTATGGGCTGGGTCTGTTAATGGGGCACAATGACCCCCAGTCTCTTACGAAAATGGCAAAGACTATAAATGTTCTGTGAGGAAAAATCTCCAAAATGTGTAGGTTTATGTGTGGTGTGGTGAGGAGGGTGGGAGGGCAAGCAAATTTTCTGCTCACCAGTCGGAGATGTGACCGCTCTTATGGTAAACTAGTCGAAAAGCATATCATGTGAGCATCTTCGTCCAGGCGAATGTTAATGTGTGTTGTTATTTTTTTTCTTTCTTTGTGCTCTGTTCTCTTTCTTTTCAACTTCTTTCTTCTTTACTCTAGCCATTCGATGGAATGCTCTGACTTCAAAGGTCGATTAAAAACTCAATATTTAGGACAGCGTTAAACCAATTCCAAAATATGTTCGTTCAACCTTTTTCCTACCATTGCATCCGACTTTCTGAATCGCTGAGTGGGTGGTTGGTGAGTGCTCTGGTGTGGTCTGCTCTTTCTTACCTTCTGTTAAACGTCTATCATCATTATCTCTACTCCTCCTTTTTTGTGTTTGTTACTCTCTTGTAACACATCTAATCTTCGGCATTAATATGACCTTATTGTGTTGCAAGTGCCGTAATACTGTTACTTACTACTACTGAGTTTATTTATAAACTTACGTGACGTCTGGTGTAAATGTTAAGCTCTTCACTGTCGCATGCAGAAGACGTGAGTTCGATTCTCGTGCAGAAAGGTTTGGTTGTTGTTGTTGTTTTGTTTTTGCTTTGGGTTTTTTGGTGTGGTTTTTTTTTTTTTG